CACCTCTGAGGAGGCAGCAGCAAGGCAAGAAACAAACAGCTTGCAAAACTAAGGTGAGCTATAAGACCATCTCAAAATCAATAGACCTCATTGCTGTATTTCTCTGCGTTGTGGCACAACCCACTGAGAGAAAGAACGAATAAAAGTACTTTTCAGAACTGAGAACCTAATCTATCCTTCAGTAAATGTCATTCACTGCCTGGCTTGCCTAATGCATCTCGACCCTGTGGAGATGTTGTTTGGTATTGTTTGGAATACACTTCTTTTGTAAAATGTAGGTGAAGAATTCCACATTCAAATTTCAATATAAAGGCATGGGTCTTTCTGAAAAATAGTTTCCTTTCTGTGCATCTTTAGAATGTTCACTCTGTTGCAGTGAAACAGAAAACGCCTCAATTGAATTGGCAGCATAGCACTTAGCGTAGCGAATAAAGGATCAATTCTGTTAATCACAGTTATATCATCATATATTTTTTTTGTCCATTCTTCATTTTATTCATTTTTCAGCGGAAATGGCATTCCTCGCCATTGGGTCAAATAACTTATACCTGCATAAACTCAACTCCTTGGTAAGAAGCAATTTCCAAGTTTTTCTATTAAGCCTTATATATTTAGAAATTATTTTCAGCTTTTCTTCGTAATGGCTTTCGAATTGAGCTGTGGGCTGTAGGCAGTGTGAGGTTAATTGTGTAACATTTTAATCTAGCAGTGCAGATGTACAGATTTTATGTTTTAGGACACCACTGGCGACGTCACCGATGACATAGATAGAGTCTGTGGGGGGTTTAATTTGTGAAACAATAGAAGCAACTGTACCCAAAACCAAAAAACATGGAATATGAGAACCATCCAGGATGGCGTAGACACAGCAGTCCACAACTTAAGGTTTGGAAACATGGACAATTATAGCAGCAGTCTTCAATCTAAGAAGAGAAGTAAAGGAGGCAAAAAGTGTCTACGGGACAACAATTCCAGGAAGGCATTCAGAGGCGCATGTGGCAAGCTCTATGAACTATGACAGATTACTGACTCAGTGGTGAGAAAGGCATGGTGAGACTTTTTCACCTCAGAGGTTTGAGGATATTCTGGGTATACTTTTAAATACTGAAGAATTTCTGCTCCTGTACCATCGAGAGCCAATGGTATGGAATAAGCACGGCCCGCAAGGCCTTGCAAAGACTGGTTTACTCGCCGGAACATACAGTGGTACTGTACCTGCCTACCAGGTGCTGTAAGAATAGGAATAGGACCCAACCACCCAGATAACGGCCTGAGATCAGGAAGAAGGTACCAGATACAACAGGTCAGCACTATATGATTTATGAGTGTAACAGCTCTGAAACTGCGACTGAAACCATGACTTAATACCATGGATGTTTGTGTCTTGGTGCCTTTATCCAGCATGGCGATGACAGCTGTACTCGCAGACACGGAACAGAAAGTCTAGAGCAGTTTTACATGAGTTCTTGTGTATCTGTAGTGTCTCTGGTTAACTCTAGGGAAGTGAGTTACTTCAAATATCCCGATATAGGATGAAAATAACTTTACAAGACAAACTTCGGCAGTTTCAGTAGCAAAATAAGAAGTGGACAAATGGTTGTGCATTAAAGATGACACCACTGACACGACACAGTAAAATCACCTAATCTAGCAGAGGTGGAGCACACCATTTCACATGAAGGGCATCTTACACATGCTTTCTGTGAATGAAAACACTCTGCACACTGTCCTATGAGGAGAGAAAGAGAGTTGTTATTGATGCCATTCCCGAGCGACCCATCTCCATTTGCTTATACGTTTTTATTTTGACATGCATCCATTTTTCATGTAAGCAGTGACCAGCTGAGTAAGAGGAGAAGGATAGGAGGAGTGAATGGAGGACAAACAAAACAGAAGGACAAGTAGCAAAACATAGAGCCAGGAGCCAGGAAATGTACGATATTAGTGATGGAGTGACAGACAGAACAGGCGTAGCACCAAGCAATGGGAGAGAGAGAGAGAAAGAATGAATGTACACTGTACTATGTGTATGCGTTTGTGTTTCAGATATGGCCATTAGCCGAGATGGATGTCCTTGAACCCGGGTCTGCGCCAACAGGTATCTCTCGCTAACAGACCGCCCCTCCACTGGTAATTACACAGGGAGGTCTACAGCAGGTGGCACAGGGCTGAACAGAATTTACATAAATCTGCATGTGTCACTGGGCCTGGCTGCAGCCTCTGGCACTCTGTATGAATCACGCTCACGCTCAGCAGACAATTTGTTCAAAATTTAACAAAATGGATGGGGGGAGGTAAAAAAGTATCAATGCTCTCTCTGAAATCCATACATACTGGTGAATGCACTGCATAATTTGTGCTACAATATGGCTTTCCCTTCCACTTTTCTTTGAAAACCAAAGGAAAAATAGCTGTATACCTTGTATCAGCTAATGGGGATCCAAGAATAAAGAAAAAAAGAATAAATCACACACATGCACGCTGTGAACAAAAACAGACACACTGACATTATTTCACTTTTATCACTTTTATGAAACTGCACACTTCTGCATCTGATCTATCCATCCGAGTTGAATGCAGAAATCATGTGCCTTATTTGCTTCCTTTGTAGTTTTCATATGTTGTTTTTCATCATGGTTTTATTGTTTTTCCGACATGCTGTTCAGCTTCAGTACCTGCTGAGGCATTGTGTTTGTGCAAGTGCTTTGAATCTTTAAACAATGTAGCACGTCTGTTGTGCAGATATGTGTAGCTATAAATCAAACACACATACATATTTATGTGCTTATTTATGTACTCTATGTGCATGTGTGTGTAAGTGCATGCGTGTCAGTACTGGCATGCTTCTGTCCATAACATGTGAGCAGTGGGACCCCCCATGGTGAGAGGTGTTTCTGCTGACAAGAGCATATTCAAGGTAATAGAACCACTCTGTCGTCCCAGAGCAGAGCACTAAAGCAGAACTGAGTTCTGTCTCCTACTATACGCACCACTGAACCTCCAGATGACAAAATGCCTCACTGGCTGACCAAATGAAATACAATAAAGCCGAAAAAGAAGAAAAAGAAGATTGAAGGAAAAAATGCTCAGATTTGTCATATTTTGCCAGCTAGGTAGGAAAGTATGTGTTTTCAGTTGCAAAATCTGTCTGTCAGTGGAGTGCCACTTCCAAAAAAGTTTGTGCTTAAGAACACCTATACAGTGGTGGAGCCATTCTTCATAGGGGTAACCCAGCAGTGGCAGGTGGAGTGCCAATTTTTTTGTATGGCATACTGCTGTAAAGAGGTTTGATTATGATGTTTGCTTATGACCAAAATGTATCTAAAATAAGCCCCTGGTAGTCTAATGTATGTGGAGGCAATAAGAGAGGAATAGCACCATTTTATTTACTTATCACCATCTTTCACGACTTTTGTAGTTTGTACTTGAATTGGTTCCTCTGTTTCTGTTGTTACTTTCATCAACAGCTGATTTTCACATCACTGTCCGAATTTGCTTCCCATTCGTTTCTATGTGGAGAAAAACTCAGCTAAAGCACCCTAGCCATAAAAGAGGAAAATGTGTTTATAGTGTATATAGATAAAGCACATGATGTGCATGTCACTAAAGCAGGTAATGAAATTCTACCAGTGTACCCTTGTAATGTGGAGAGCACGAGGGATGATGAAATAAATAAAGAAGTTGCTGAATAATGAGAAGGGAATGAAAACAAGTTCCACAATAAATGACAGATTGCATTAACAAACTATAAATTATTCCTATTTGAATTTACATATTTCCATTGTATTTCATCATATTGTACAAGCAAAACAAGTCAGTGCAGAAGTGAATGTATTGTTGAGCAAATGAATTAGTGAAAACTTCCTTGGCTTTGTAGAAAAACTACCTTTAGCTAACGTCACCATGTCGATCTCTGCGGATAGACATGCCGGCAGCAATAACTCACAGCCCCGGAGAAGCAGACTGCTAGCCGGCAGTCATTATTGCTGATCTCTGTGGAGACGTAGTGGAGTTGTGCAGGTAGGCATTGCTGGATGGTCCCAGAGGAGCATGCTGGACCGATAAGTTGTGGCAGCAATATGGAGCTGAGAGTTGAGAGTCTGTGGGGAATCTGACTGGCCACTGCAGTAACAAAAGGGTGATGAGGTTGCCTCCCGACTGGCTCTTAGATGGACTCCATGAGAACGACCACTTTCTAGTGAACTCAGCGCCCTTCTTCTCAACTCCCTCTCAAATGTTTTGATTAAACCGGCTGAGATCAAACATACATTCCTGCATAAAAAGGAAAATACGACTCAAAGGCTGTTAAGGACCAACTTCTCCGGAAGGCTAAGTTGACCCCGCAGTGCATTGGGACTGGAGAGCTCCAGCAGAATATTCACAAGGAGCAGACACATGCATATGAGCACAAAGCACACACACTGTTAACTGAGCAGCCCAAAACTGTCTTCAGGGGAGGAACAAAAAAAGAGGGAAAAAAAGACTTTTGTAAATATCATCCAATCAAGGAGAATAATTCATTTGCAGACACAAATTATGTTGTTGTTGTTGTTGTTGTTGTTACAGTTCTGTCTCCTGTTTGTAAAAAGAATTCACATGAATTCTAATGAATGCAAAGAACAAAACAACCAACACACACACACACACACACACACACACACACACACACACACACACACACACACACCATCACCTTGACCTGGAGGGAGCCTGGTTTTGCTCTGCTCAGCTCCCCTGGAAATGCTGCTATTCAAATCCTCAGGAGCCAGACAGGCAGGTTGAGGTTTTATACAGTGTGTGTGTGTGTGTGTGTGTGTGTTTTGTTGTGCTACGCTATGTGTCTGCACTCCCACATGCAGACTTGTGTTGCTGAACACCAGAATTTAGAAGAGAGAGAGAGACAGAAAGAAAGAGAGACAGGGGGAGAAACTAACAAAAATAAGCAAAAAAAAAAAAAAAAGTTTGATTTTAAATTTGAACCTCTGAACATTTTTACTGACCTTGTAGAAGCGCCTGACCTTTCTGGAAAGGTCCACTGTACACCACTTGGTAGTGTTTGACCTGGAAGCCAGGTACACAGCCCTCATGGCCTCCATCCTCTTGACCACCCACATGGGCAACCTGCAACACACAGAACAAAGGACAGGTCAGAATAATATGAATAAACTCTTGGTTTCTGTGGAGATAAACCTGACAGACACAGACAGGTGGACAGAATAATTTAAGACATATGTTTCCCTTTTAAAGACATAATCCTTGTTAATCCTGAATAAACAACATAAGGCTGGAGCAGATATATAAATATGCAGTCACAAAGAAAAATCAATACTTCTACTGGTAAAAGGTTCCTTAAATATTAAAAGAGTACTACCACGCCGATTTAGTTCAGTCCATAAAATGTCAGAAAACGGTGAACAATGGTTATCACTGTTTCCCAAAGCCCAAGGTGTCATCCCCAAATATCTTGTTTTTTCCACAACCCAAAGATATATAGTTTACTGTCACAGAGGACTAAAGAAACCAGAAAATATTCACATTTGATTGGCTAAAAAATCAGAGAATTTTGACATGAATGAATTAGTAATCAATTATCAAAATAGTTGGTTAATTTAATAATTAATTTAATTGTTAATTACTGATCAATTAATCGGGTGATCGTTGCAGCTGTAGACTTAATACTTACATACATGTAATTGAAAACAATAACAAAGGAAGATGTTTTTCAGAGTCAAAAGCAAGACTGAGTCTTTGGTATTTAGCCCTATAATTTTGTTTGGTGACCAGGCTTGTGCTGTTTTTAATTTAACTATGACTTAATCCATGGTTTTATTAAAAAAGATTATGTTCAATAGCTTCTCATTTTTTTCTTTTCTCTTAACACTGTGAAGAGAAGGTCAATTTGTAATTGGGTTGTTAAGTAATTTTTTACAATTCAAATTAAAACTGACTACAAACTCTATGGAATTGCCTTCTTTGACTTTCTACTGACCAATCTTCTCTGCAAATCACAGTTTTTCAATTTGAAAATTATACCGGAAAAAAAGCACTTTAACCCCTCTTTAGAAAAACAACATTGTTTTAAAGGGTGGGCGGAAATGGATTTAAAGTGCTGTTTTCAGACAGAGACCAAACATACTGCATTCATTCAGAGATATGTGCCGCATGCCATTTTTTTATTCACCATTTTACAGCAGTGACCGATTTAAAAATGCAGTTGAGTTAAGCCTGTTATTGTAAATAATTCATGTTCAACAGGAAAATAACTAATTAAAGAATAAACGTACGCTATTACTGTGCATTTTTCATAGAGCTTTCTCCCAGATCTTAAGTTAGAGGTTGAACTGGCAAAGATACTGACACTATGGCGACTTCTTAAGCTAATTTACAAAACATTCAAACGTAGAGCTTACATTGTCAGTCAGACTAAGTTCTGGTCAAAAATACTGAAACTTCAGTCCTGGTCGGAGCTGCTGGTTACTGACTACAGGTAGTGATTCACAGAACTTGGAAAAAAATAGATCTGACTCATATGTCAGAAAAAAAATATATGTATATGTAAATATATGTTAACAATTATTAAAAGTAACACATTTCTATGTATCTACCTAAGGTGAGAGCATTACCACTAACAGTTGAGACCACAGGGTTTGGGTAAACCTATATAACTCACCATCTGCCTAACCCCCAAAAAACTCCAATCTCAGGTCTGGACTCCTGTGTCCTGTGACTCAAGCTGAGCTTAATCTATTTTACATTAAATAATCTCTATTGGAGGCCAGCTTACTCACTCAAGTTGCATGCACTCTTATAACTATGGAGGTTTTCACAATAAGCATCATGTTGTCTTTCATCATGATACTAGCTAAACAAGTTAGCCTCTCACTGAAAGCTGGATCTCTTAATTTGGCACAATACGGTACGGTATTTTTAGTTTTGTATCCAGTGACCCTGTCTGTCTCACCAAAACAACTTAATTTGCATGAAGTAAAGAGGATGTGGCCTCTTCTTGAATGATGAGTGGCACTGTATCCTTTACCTAATCCTTTTCATAGTAATGTGCGTGGCTTTGCCTTAACACAAGCCTCACGACTCCCAGCCAGTGTTGGCTGGAGAAATGATATAGAGGCTTCTGAGGAGAGCGTTTCCCATAGTGAGGAGCCTCAATCATGATATCAGAGGACAGGGTTCAAGAAATAAGCAACCTCACTCTCTTTATGTATTGGCACTTGCTGCTATTTGGCATCATTATACAATTTAAAGAACCACTTTAGAAGCAGAATTGCACGTTTTGTAAAAATTGACAGACATGCTGCAGATACTCCTGCTCTGAAACAGCGAAGCTTGATGATTTTAGCATACACACCAAATCCAAATGTTTTTTTTTTTTCTGGAAACACCCCCGTCTCTTCAGTATGTAGGTCATCTTAGCATTGTGTGCTGAAATATGATTACTCTAAGGAAGGAGAGATGAAGGAGGTGAAGGGACCCATTGATCATTAATAGATCCACCACCATTGTGAACGTATTTCCATATTTGACTGAAATCACACTGTAAAGGCTACTACACAGTGAGGAAAGAGGGGGGAGATGCCAGATTGAGGGACTTAATGCCTCAGTAGGTAAAGTGGTCACAGTAAAATTCCTGCCACCATATTGCCCTCTCATACTTTTTTGTAATGTGAAAAGACAATCTGTGAAATTGGTTGATTATCCAGACGCAGTGGGTGCTGTAATTAGACACACCATACAGTATGGCATACGTGATATGCATCTGCCAAACTGGGCCATCTGTCACCAGTGTCAACCAGTGACATCCCACCTGCTCATCCTCATATCTCTTGACCCCTCCTCTTGTAACTCCCACAGAGACATCAAAAGTGCTTTGACAAGAGAAATAATAATTGGATGCTGTCTATCACCGTGTTTATATATTTTCCATCCAGACAAGAGAAAGCAACGTTTCAAGGAATATTACCAAGATCAATATAGGACACATCAATTATACACAGTACAGTTGTAATAGTAGCAGTGTGAAACTCACTCAAAGCTGTATTCTTTGTGAATGGGCTGTTTCAGTGCAATACAAAGGGAAACTTGCTAAGGCCACTTTATGTCACTTGTCTATCCTTACATGGTCATTGTCATTATGTCAATATCACTTGAGTATATATTTAAAAACATATTAACAACTAAATAACAATGAGTGATGTCTATTTCACTTCATTTTATGAGCAACTAATGGAACCTTAAACATTTACCAGAGTTAATGGGAAAAATCTAAATTACAGACAGCGTGAAATATTTCATTGGGTTTGGAATGACAGTTATATGACACATCACGCAAGTTACAAGACTTTCACACAGCGGCGTCTAGGCTGTCTATGGAGATCTGTCTGCATGATGAACAAGCTTTGGCAGACGTTCAGCCATAGAGGTCATTACATGTAATGTCCCTGCAAAGTAATCACTGCACCCAGGGGACTTAGTGCTTTTCCTGCAGGTGTCAAAATGGTGATTCAATTCCATCACAAGGCTTCCTGACATGGTGGGATACAATGCTTGTTGGTCCATAAACTCAATCAAGTTGATTTGAAGGGCCAGAGGCCTGTCAACATAGCAAGGGTACATGGGACACACATGAAAATGCAGAAAAAGACATTATCATATGCACACACACACACACACACACACACACACACACACACACAGCGATAAGTGCACACAAGCGAGTGGATACCTGCAAACACACCAAATGCTATGCACATCCCTCAGCAGGATTTAACAACATGAACACCCATTTTAATGTTCATTAAGGGGGAAATATTACACTGTAGCCCCAGTGACTCACAGTAGGACAGCGGAAGCATTAAGGCAATGCATTGCTAATGACAATGTTGTTAGCAAGGGGGATTATTATTGTGGGCAATATTCTCATCAGAAAACCATTTAAGAATGCTCTGGACATGTGAAGGTTATATTATTCAAGCCTCGCAGACTGAATTGAGGCATTTTATCAACAATGTCAATCTTTTCACTGCTCTGAAAAAGAAGAATTTATTAAAAATATAATCTCAAAGGACGGCGAGACATGTTGTGTGGACATTATTTTACAGAAGGAAATCCATATCAGGGCTTTCTTTAAGCCTTTGTATTTGTGCCTGACTGTATGCAACACACATAAAAGGATCTGATTCATATATGTGTTTAAGCTTGTCGACTGTTTTGGGATTTAAGTTATCACAGGGACGCAAAGGTACACACAGGGATTAGTGTGTGAATACAAACATGTGAAGGACACGTCTTCCTCAGCATCAACTAATGTTTTCTCCTGAGGTGTTCAATGAGAGACATTAATTGATTTCTGTGTGTTCCAGCTTCAGTATCTTGCCCGTTTGATGTCTCTGTGAAGGCATCATTGTTCTGCAGTGATTGGCTCGATGTGACTTTGCCGGAGCAGAGCACCACATAGAGGGATTACTAGGGTCCGGTCTAGGGGAAACAAAGAGCCTCGGTTGCATGAAAACAATATCTATCCAGCAGGAACAATTATCGTGCTCAAGCAATCCTGAAAATTGTGTATTGTGTACCAGCTCAATGAGATGATCGACACAGAGCCAAAGAGATAAATAAATCTGCAAGCATTTAGCAGCGTGTGTGGGCAAAGTGAGAGAGAGAGAGAGAGAGAGAGAGAGAGAGAGAAAAAGATACAGCAGTTGGGCAAACTGCAAATAGACCAGTAATCCAGAAGATAAGTGTCAGAGAGCAGGATCACTGGAATCTGGACCATTTGGATCCAATACTGTCAGACATAAATAAACTTCCAGCACACATGTCCACCTGGCTTCATATTGCGACCATAATGTATTATTTATGACTATGGTGTGCCCGATATGATACAGATATAAGGTAGTTACCATCATTTCTTGATACAATTGAACTGTTGCTGTTTAAGTTGGTTTAGGTTTGTGCTGCTACTGCTATTCATCCATTACATTCAGCTATATATCATTTTTCCATTAGCCTACTATCTGTTATCTTTTTCAACAATTAATACATTTAGCTATGTATTTCAAGCATTTATCCATTCATTTTAATTAATTGTGTGAGCTATCTAAGCTCTA